ACCTCTGGGGCAGGCGGGAATGGAACTCATGCGGAAGCAGCTTTAGATTCTCAGTGCTGTGCTTTAACCCGCTGCGCCACCAGGGAGGGCCCCAGCAGTAGCTTTTGATCTCTGCCTTGAGGGTTTGTTGATATTGTTACCCCAGCTTAGAAAACCTTGCAAGTTGTCTCAAGCTACCAATGAATTAAATTCAACAAATGTTAATTGAGGAGTGCAGTTGGGCTCTAGAAACAGGTTCCCCTTAGATGCTTCCAGAAATGTTAAGTCCTGGAGCCTGACCTGTGGGGCCCCCAGTAACAATAAAGCTTATCCCTCTGGGCTAGCTGTCTCCTTGGCCTCTGCACCAATATCTTGGGTCACACTCAATGGCAGCAGCTTGCTTCTGAGCCCTAGAGCACTGAATTACATACGGCCTCGAATTGCTCCTCAACCTTCAGATCTATTAACTCAACTAAATGTGGGCACGCAAGAAATGTTTTTATTGTCAGTTATATTCTAAAAGCAGGATGGATGGGATATTTTATTGCCTTGCACATAAATGTGCAACATAAAAAAAAAAGAGACACAATACTTTCTAAGTTCAGAAAATACTCTTAAACCTGACTAGACTGTTAATTAATTTAAAGGCGGGGGGAATGTCTCTTTCCCCCCCAATGTTTTGCATTCCATGAAATGGAAAAAAAGCCACTGGGATATAAGAACCTCATAAGCGTGTACAGGGAGGAAATGACACAGTTCAGGTATTTTCCATTTAACAAGTCTCTCGGTGGAACTAATGACACAAAAAGGAAAGAGTTGAATGTACTTCTTCACCCTGCTTACACACCCTGAGTGCACTGAGTGCCTTCAAGAAAGGCTGGGTTGTTAAAGCAGGTCAGCTTCAAGAGTAGCAAGTGAGGCACATCAGGGTTCTCAGGATAAATGTCCCTGGCCATCTCCTTCAGAACCTCAAAGCCACCTCATCTCGAGGGACAAGAAAGACTGGCCACTAACAAGAGGTCATAGCATCCCTTTGTCCTCAGACTCTCCATCTGTAAATTAAAGTTTGGATTCAGTGGGTTTAAAGTCCCTTCTCTCTCTCTCTCTCCCTTTTTTTTTTTTTTTAGATTTATTTATTTATGCATACAGAACTGGGGTACAGGCCAGAGGTGTAGGAGGGTTGAGAGGATTCACCAGAGACCGAGTGGGGAGCAGAACAGGCTGACTGAGGAAGTACACTGCTGAAGGGTGCAGTGGGCGGGTCAGGAGAGGTCTGCCATGCCATGTGGGTCACCTCTGGGGCAGGTTGGTATGGAACTCATGCTGAAGTGGCTTTAGCTTCTTAGTGCTGTGCTTTAACCTGCTGTGCCACCAGGGAGGGCCCTCTCTCTCTTTTTTTTATGAGGATGATTCCTTTAAAAACGTCGGTGGTCCATGCCCTTCTATGCGAGTCTGAAACAAGAATGACTGGCTTGGTTACCATTGCACAAGCTCTCATGTCCAGCAGAGTAGAGGGCCTGGTATCGCTACTTAGTCATAGTTTTCCTAGAACTTTCCCCCATAGACTAAGCTATGAAAGAGCAGTTTTGCTGTCAGGAACTCTCTCTTCATTTATTACTGCTTTCCGAACACAGTGCTCCTTGTAAAGTGACCCAGCCCCTGGAACTTTCCTTCCCAAACTCCTTCACATTTCAAGATGAGCGTCTGTGAACACTCGGGCCTCTTGTCTCACTCAGCTGCCCAAAACACAGCCCTGGACACAGGCGGAAATGTGTTCATGGTCGCTTCTGCTCTAGTAGCCGCTGTGTTCCTGGTACTGTGGGGGCTATCAGCATTATCTCTGACCCTCACCACAACATTGCAAATGCTGTTACTCCCGTTTTCAGCTGAGAAAATGGAGGCCTGTGGGGTCCAGAAGGCTCAGAGTAAACTTGTGAGTGGCATTTCGACTTAGCATTGTGTGAGACCAAACCTTAGCTTTTCCAGGAAGAGAGATGTTTCTTTCTGAGCACAACATTCTCTACAGGCGGTGCCTTGTGAAAAATTCTGTTGCCACAATGGAAAACTATAGAGAAGGCCTAAGAAAGCAAGCCACGAAATCATAACTGCTGTAGTCCAAAGGCACCACTTTTTTTAATTTGCCTTTGCACCAGTGACAGGCCTGTCTCCATTTCTGCCCCCCGACCCACATGCCCACAGAACTGACATCCTGGTGGCGCAGTTTTCCAACAGGGTGATTCTCAAGTGGCTATTGTGAATGGAGCAAGCTCTTCCTAAGGCCCGTGGCCTTGGTTGGAGTGTGGACACGTGCTGCTGGGCTGCTGGGTGTTTTAGTACAGACCCAGGACTGCTAGGCCCTGCCGGCCCCTGTGGTGAACCTTGATCCTCAGTGGAATAAAGCTTCGTATGTACCTGGAGTGGTTAATTAACTTCTGTCCCCTGTGTTTGGTAAATTTGATCTTTTTGAGGCAGGGCTTGCTTTCATCCTTGCTAGTGTGCACTCAGTGGTGAGTCCCACTTACCGAGCCTTGCAAGTCTTGTCTTAAGTCTCTCTGCCCTTGGATGACCCTGAGAAATGTCAGCCAGGGCTTCTAGTGTCCAGCGGGTGGGAAGTTGCAGCCTGAGCCGACCAGCTGCTGTGCAGCTTCTGCAGGGCCTGTTCTTTGGAAAAACTGCCTTGTCATCCCACAGCTCTTTTGGCAGAGGAGGAGGCGGCTTTGGCCCTGCTAACCTGGCCTTTTCCAACAGTGTGGCTCTTGGAGGGGGTGGGGCGGGGGGGAGGGGCTCCTGTTGCTGAGCCTTCCTCAGGCTTTGGGGTCTCAGCTGTGGTTCCTATACGGAAGTTGTATCAGGGAGAAAAGCAGCTCCTTGAGGAGCCCTCCCCCCCCTTTTTTTCCTAAAGGTTTATTTTATTTATGCATACAGAACTGGGGTACAGGCCAGAGGTGCATGGGTGGCGAGAGGCTTCACCAGAGACAGAGTGGGGAGCAGAACAGGCAGATCGAGGAAGTACACTGCTGAGGGGAGCAGCAGGGAGACAGTGGAGGTCTGCCACACCATGTGGGTCAACTCCCTGGCCTGGGATCGAACTCATGGAGAGCTTCACAGGGAGGGCCCGAGGAGCCCCCTTCTGATTCAAGTTGTCATGGTGAGGGGATCAGAGAAAGGGGGCAGTGTCCTCAACTCCAAACTGGCCCACCATCCAGGCTTGATGAGCTTGGAGACATCGCACCTCCTCTCCGGGCTAGGCCCCCAGAACCCTGGCGTGGTGTGGTTTTATTTTTCCTTTTGACCTTTCTACCCTTCCTAACCAACATACCTCTTTCTAGCTATCCTCCATCCCTTCAGTGCTCTTAACGTGTCCAAAAGCAAACTCTTGGTCCCATTCTTCTCCCCATTCCACCTCAGATCTCTCCAGCTCTGTAAATGGTCACCCCATTTTGCAAATTGCTCAGTCCTGAAGCCCATTCCCTGCCTCCATGTCAAATCCACCTGCAGATTCTACAGTTTTCCCTTTCAAATATCCACAATCCACCTTTGTCGTGACTTTCATTACTTCCACAGTTGTCCATATTCCTGTCATCTTGCACAAATACTGTTGGAGCAGTTTCCCAGGTGACTGCCACTGTTGACCTGCCACAGTCTGTCCTCATTCCAGCAGCTAGATATCCTTTTATGACAAGTCACTTCCTCCTGTGCAGAACTCGCAGAAGCTTCTCATCTCCATTAGTGCAAAAGCCAGTCATTAAATGGTCTAATGGAGCTTCAGTCTCTCGCCCCTCTCACTTCACTGGCTTCATGGCCAGCAGCCACTTGCCTAACTCACTTCCAGATGTGCGGCCCCCTGCTGTGCTCACGCGTGGAGGACAGCCATTGAACTGCTGCGTCCGCGGCCTGGAACGAGGCCCCCCCAAGTTGTATGTGGCCACGGCCTCATGTCAACGTTGCTCTCTCTGTGAAAGAGATCTTTCCTGGCCTCCCTCTCTAAAATCACATATCTTGCTTTACCTTTTCCTCACCCCTTTATCTGCTCTCATTGTCTTAATATTATTACCTCTTGTTTATTTGTTTTTCTCTTCCAAGAGAATGTAGGCGTGGATTATTTATTCTGTTCATTGCTTAGGTTCATTTTCTAGCACTGCTGTAATTAAATAGCAAAAACCGGGTCGCTTAAAAGAATAGCACTTTTTTGTCTCACAGTGGTGGAGACTGGGCATCTGAAACCAAGGGGTCAGCAGCGCCGTGCTGTCTCTGACAACTCTAGGGGAGATCCCTCCATGCTTTTTCCAGCTTCTGATGTTTGTTGGGAGTGTAGCTTTCCAGGCATATGGCTGTCTTCACCATTGTCTTCATTTTGCTCTCTTCTGCATGTGCGAATTTCCTCTTTTTCATAAATACCCTAGTCATTGTGGATTACCCCTCCATCACTTCCTCAC